GCACCGCACCGCACCGCACCGCACAGCACAGCACAGCACAGAAAAGCAAAGCAAAGCAAAGCACAGCAAACAAGAGAGAGGCTAGCGCTCGCCGTTCACCTGCGCAGCCGCCCAGCCGCCCAGCCAATCCGACTGAAAAAGGCTCGAAAAAAGGAGCCAAAGGGCCAAAAAAGGTGGGGCAAGCTGGCGGCTCCATCGGTCAGCCTCGACACCCACACCCACCGCCAAAATTTGTGGAGCCCAAACCCGCCTCTCCCTCTGCCAACTGCTGCGCCTTTTTCCAATCCGAACCAGCCAGCCAGCCAGCCAGCCAGCAACGAGAAAGCGAGCGAGGGTCGAGGGTCGAGGGTTGACAAATGCACGCCCCGTCCGCACATCCGCCCCGCCTGGTCAAATCACAGATCTGCTTTTCGGCGCTGCCGTTCAGTTTCGCACGCTGCGCTGCGCTGCGCGGCGCTGGACTCTTTGCGTTGTTTTGGCATTGACATGCCTGCACGGACTTAAGCCTGCCTGCAAATGCTTTGGCACTCGATACCGCAATGGCCGCTGGCTTAGCACCAAGGCGGTGCAATCGCCCTTCTCTTGGCGCGAGAGAAATGACCAAGAAAAAAAAAAGGTGGATTGCCAGGGTCTGCTGCTCACTCTGCGCGATCGATGCGTCCAGCAGGCCCCGGTCCATGACGCGCACTCGACTCCCTTGGCCTCACGCACCCACCATCGCTCCTTTCCGTCGCTCGGTCGGCCAGCAGCCATTTTGGCGTTAGAGTTAACACAACCGAGAGCCATACTGCATGTCACCGCTCGCTTCTCTGTTTGCCCCCCCCGCCAAATGACAGCTCGCAACCCGGCGCGGCGATTTGCCCTCAACCCACTGTCCCCTCCGGCGGGACGATCTCGAAAAAAGAAGAAAAAAGAAGCCTCTCGCCGTCGTCCGAGCTGTCTTCCTGTGTGTTGCTTTGGTCGGCGTTGCTTCTTCCGAGGCCACGTTGTTTTGCGGCATGTGAGAATCAGGTCCGAGACCACACAGAACCCCCCGCAAGGCGTTGGTCTTCAGCGCCCCCCAGCGTGTGACACCGAGACAAGACACCATGGCGTGGCTGATTGGCATGCTGTCTGCTGGCTCGAAGCAAGCGCTCGTTGCCAATGCCCGAGGGTCCAGGGTTGAAGGCAATTCTGCTGGTGCGCAATCTTAGCCGAATCTGCAGGGTGCACATCCGCCCTCCCCGTCTCGTCTGGAACCCTGGCCGCTTGCTTTTCTCGGCCCACAAAAATCCACAACTCGCCGCCGATCAAGGGATGCATCGGGGGGGAGGGGCGAAATCCGAAATCCGAAGATCCCGCACTTTTAGGTCCCAACCTCCACGCCTGGCTCTTGTTTCTTCGCACACCAAGCACACTTGCATCACCATGGCATCTGCATCGACGAGTGTAGCGGGCGCGGGCACCAACGGTCGACCCGTTGTGTTTATGGACATCTCCATCGGCGAACACCCGGCAGGCCGCATCAAGTTCGAGCTGTATTCCGACATCGTCCCGCGGACGTGCGAGAACTTCCGTCAGCTGTGTACGGGCGAGTTCCGACCCAACCACACACCCGAAGGGTACAAGAACGTCATCTTCCATCGCATCATCAAGGACTTTATGTGCCAAGGTGGAGACTACATCAACGCAGACGGCACCGGATCGCGCTCCATCTACGGCGACACTTTCGAAGACGAGAACTTCAGCCTCAAGCACGACCAGCCCGGTCTGCTCAGCATGGCCAACTCGGGGCCAGGTACCAACGGATGTCAGTTCTTCATCACCGCTCAACCGTGCCCCTTTCTGGACGGGAAACACGTCGTGTTTGGCAAGATCGTAGATGGCCTCTTGACGTTGAGGAAGATGGAGAATGTTCCGACGGGCGCAAACAACCGACCCAAGATGGACGTCAGGATCACACGTAAGTTCCAAGCCTTGTCGCCAAGCCTCGTCGCAGGCTCGAGACGGCAAATTGGCTGACGTTTCTCTGTTTGACATCACAGAATGCGGCGAGATGTAGTCCTGCAGACTTTCAATCATATACCCTCTCCAACCGTGATTGTGCTGTGCCATGCTACACCGGGCCGATGTGTGTGAGGTCTTGTGGTGCGAACATCGACGGCACCGCCGGTGATCTCATCCTTTTCGGTGGGATGCATCGCAGATCTTTGGCATTGCGTCCCTTAGAATGCCGTGGTAGCAGCGATGCATTATCGATGTGCCACCACCGACCTTTCGCAAATCTTCCGGACCGGATGCTTTTGCGATCGGGCAATCTGCTGCAAGATCGATGAGACATGCCCGATCGGATGGGAAAGGTGGAGGAAAAGCACGCGGCACTCGCTGCAAGATGAAATCATGATCGATGGCCCGCCTGGGTCCTCGCAACGCCCCACTGGCCAATCCCCACCCTTGCTACCGGTATGCTGCGCGCTTCCAGCATTGTACATGCGCAAGCAGCATGCTCGATGCGAGCAGTTTCGGGTGCCTAGGAAGTTTACACGCCTAGCCGAGGCCCGACCATGCTCCGAGAGTACAACTTCGGGATCTATATCAAAAGTGCACCTTCTCTTCAAGGCGGTCTGCAAGCAGAGTCACTCGTACGCTCGAAAGAGAGTTGCATTCGCAGACGCTACTTCCAGTCGAAGGAGTGCAAGAGCCTCGAGAGCGGAGGGCTGACTGGCGTTTGACACTGACAGAAGGGTCTTGCGCCAATCGGTGGGAGCCTACGAGGATCGCTCGTGCATCTCGCTGTGCAGTTGGGACGCAGCAGCAAAGCAGCGCCGCGGCGTACAATGCCGTCACAAAAACCCACCCGCTTGCGAAAGCGAAAGCGAAAGCGAAGGGGAAAGGTTTGAGATGACGACGGATTTCAAGTTCGAAATCGGGGGCTGTCACTCGACGAAATCTCGCTGAAATCACGCAGCAGCCCCCAGCCACACAAGAGTAGGGAAAATTGAGCAGGAAAGAATTAAGAAGAAAGAAGAAAAAAAAAAA